TCCCATAATATTTTGCTTCCAGGCAGCTGTGTTTGACTAGGTATTTATGATGAGACTGTGGGAATGATTTTATAATTTAAAGGCAGCACCGGGCAGACAGTACGCCCTGGGGACTCCTGGGGAACAACTGATATTTGTTCTCCTTTTTATTCTACAGATTAGGTATTTAAAACGGTAATAACCCAGATCCTTCCCCTCGTTTTTTTAAAACCATACAATCACAATTAATCAATGTTTTAATTCTACGCTTCATGCTCGCCAGCCAGGCAGCTGTGTTTGCCTATTTCTACATATCGCTCTTTTTTTATTACAGGGTGCGATGTAAACTTGGCCGGTTGGGAAGAGTTCCCTCTTTCACTTCGCTTTCCGCCGAGCACGAGTCTGTCACCATGGAGACAAAAAGTCCTGCGGGCCCTGAATGGCCACGTTTATACCAAAACATCACTTGAGCGAGTGTTTCCGTCGCCTGTGTCCTTTTTTTTTTTCTAGAGCTACGGGGTGAGTGAGGAGGAATAGTGAATGAGTCGCCTCCCTGGAAAAAAAAAAATGGCTTTTCTTTGTGTGGATTTCCATTATTATGACAATAGGTGATAAACGTTTCTTTGGGTTTATGGAGATGCTATTCAGCATTGTTGTCCATCTTTTCACACATTCAGTGGGACTACTTTGGAGTAAATTCCTAAAAACGACATTGAACCGAGTAAGGTCCATATTATAGCAGCATCAGCTTATGTTCACCTTATCTCTTATTCGGTTGATACTTTGACTCTCCGGTTGAAGAATTTCACTGTAGGCCACTGCCAGAGGGACTGCTCTTTATTCTGCAGTAATGGTTTATCAGACTGGCAGCATGGCATTCATCTCACCCCCAAACATGAAAAATACCCATTAAAGCTAGCAGCTGACTGACCAAACTTGTGGGTGAGTCTTTGAGTGAGAGAGAATGTGTGTGTGTGGCCCCTCGTGATCTAAAGGAAAGGCTGCAAACAGTGAACCAAACTGACGGGATTCCTCCAGTGTGATTATCATATGAATAAGTATCAACACACAGCCTCACTTTGATTGGTCCAAATAAGGTCATTTCCCACAGTACCACTGGCCCAGAACCCAATTGTCGTCCTGTCACTGCCATCATTGGTGCCTCTACTCTGCATTTGTGTGTGTGTGTGCAGGGTCTGTTTTGTCCATCATGGCTGAGACACTCCAGTCAGAGATGGGAATGACAGAGCTCCTCTGCCTCACAGCTGGTAAATTACTTAGAGAGTCTGGGATGAGTTGTGTGTGTACAGTCGTGCACTCAGTACGTTAAAGGCTTCCGTTGGTTTATCATTGAGTGACATATGATAGACAAACAAAACTTCTAGAGGAATGTTAGTGTCTGCAGGTTGATATAATGCAGGAAACAGGCACTGGGGGTATTTTAACATGTATAACTGGGCAGGATTATACTAAACCAAGCTAAATACAAATTATCTGGCATTTGCTCGAAAAATGCAACTAGTTGAATCATACTTGGTAACTGGGGACTCCATTATATGCCATCTGGCTTTACGGTTTCACACATGCAGCAACCCAGAGTCAATCACATCGCCCTTCGCTGGTAAATCAAGCCACATCAAGGCTCCCCTTGCACTGACTCTCTAAATGAAACATCATTTTAGCTCGTTATGGTCAAGTAGAGTTAGCTGACCACAAACGACATGCAGGGTCAGACTCAGTTAAAACAAGTGTTTATGTAGACATCCCCCTAGGGTACTTCTTTTATGTGAACCACACCAGTCGCCCAGCTTCCATTGATCAGACATGTCCAGACATACAAATATAACCCGTAATAGCTTCTTTACATCAATGTTGTGTCATCAACATTCTCCTATATTTCTCTTTGATATTAATGGCCCTAAAATGCTTTTGTTTCCATCCAATCTTTGTAACACACTAATAGAGACGGAGTTTGCGTGAGAATGGTAATAAGTGGTGCTTTGAATAGTCCTATAGTATATGTTGGCTTGGAAAGTGTGAGGAAGTGAGAGAAAAGAAAAATTTTCTTTTTTACTGAAAACGTTATATAAATTGAGGGCAGAGTGCCAGATAATATAGATATAGAGGTGAAACAGAGCGTAGACAGCCTCCAGCTCTTTTCAGAAGAGTGTTGTATGTTGAGTGATGAGGTCCTTACCCAGCATGTCGGCACAGGCAAACAAACCTACGTAAAATCCCATAATGTCTCGATATTCTTTTTTTCCACACAAACTAATCAGTGGTTATATCTTCAATATAAGCCAAGACAAAAGTTTTGCGAGAGTAAAATTAATGTTTAATCTTGTTCATAAATTGTCTTGAAATTTACGGAAAGACTATATTTCAAACCGTATTCCCCTGATATGAAGTGCTCACATTGTAGCTTCCTTTAGGCACTTTTCTGAAAGGAGAATCACAACTATCAAGACCACCGCATTGCCCTTTTGCTTTTGGCAAATCCTCTGAGGTTTGCAGCAAAGTGAAGATATGCTGAGGGTCTCAACTTGATATGGACCCTTTGACCTCCCTCTGAAACCTCTTTTCTTTTAAGCTCAGGTAATAATACCTGTTAACCCCTGCTCATCTTCCCCCATTCTTTCATTCTTTCTTCGAGACACACACATTAAACCTTGAATCCCACTTTTAAAAGAAGTTAACTTCCTTGACCCTGCTCCCTTTTTGCGTCTTTTTCTTTGATTCATTCATTTATTTCTCTTGAAACGTCTGTCTCTCTTATCTTTTTGCTTCTGCAGTGGCATGTTAACACCTGAAAACAGAGTAGCTTTAATGAATGTATTCGGTCATAAATCAGTTTCTGCAGAGGCCACATTGTGTCCAGCAGATCACAGGTTAGATCTCCACTATGTCTCCACAACAGCCACGTGTCATTGCTTCTTCACTCTATTATAAGAGGCCTGCTTTCCATTATCTGCCAGATATCAAAGTAGGCAAACAGATTTTTCTCATCTCTATCAAAATGTAAAATATGCCAGGTATGATCTCATGGTTTGTGTTGGACACTTGGCTTCATCCAATACTTCACATCATGCTGTAATCCTCCTTGCCTCTGACCTTTTTCCATGCTACTATTTTCCTCCTCTCCTTCCTTCCATCTGTGGACTCAATTGGAGCTTCTGTTAAAGATTACTTGAACCCCAGGCAACAAAATGCATGTTAGCTAAGGTCATAGGTTTGAACAAAAAAAAAATGAAAAAGTAGTAGTACTTATCTGTCCGAAAAAGGAGTCTTCTTGGGACAGAGATGGACCGTTTCGACACACTTGGGGCCACTACTTGTGTGGTCTGCCCTTTGCCTTCTGCTGGGAATGACAATCGAGGCGAGGGAGGAAATGCAAGACAGGATGAAACCTGCTCTTCTGCTATCTGATTCTCTTTAGTCTTTAGCAAAACACGCAGAGAAGGAGGCAGAGTCTTTCTTCCGTGCTAAAACTCATCCAGCATTTTTGTAATCAAAATCTAGAGTTTAATAAATGAGGCACGGATGCGATCGAAGTAAACATTCTAAAAAGGATGCAGCAGCTTTAATCACTGCATCTGTTCACGAATTGATTAACCTCCCTGTACCGCTAACCTTCTCTTAAAAGTAACTCTTACCCCTGAACAACAGCACACAGATCTCTGCTATAACATAACTACTGATATAATGTTGTAAATCCTGTTTCAAAAACATATCTCTGGACCAAATATGATTCATTTCCATTGATGACCCAGAGGGAATTACAACAAGGAAGCAGATAGAGGTCACTTGCTCGCCAACTGAGCACATGGCTGCTGATGGAGACATTGGCCAATGCAAAAGTTAAACTTGTGACCTTCCTGAAACAGCATGACTCTCTCTAAACACTTAGCCACCCCAACGTTTCCCGTTATGGTGAGGAGATAAGGTCTGGTTCACTTGGGGTTAAAAAACAGATCCCACCCCCACCCTTGCCCTGATTAGATCCAGCTTTCGCATGTCCAATCCAGGAAGCACACGGTCCAGATTTAAAGCAACTTTGCTCATTAGAGAGCAGAAATAGCTTATAGAAAATCTTTTTAAAAGTAGCAAAGTATTCCTATCAGTTTCATATACTGCAACCAGCAAACCAGTCAAAGTTTTCACTTATCCAATGGAATATCTCAACATCTACTGGATGAATTAGCACAAGATTTGGTACAGCCATTTATGGTTACCAGATGATGTATCCTAACTTTGATGATCCCCTGACTTTTCCTCTAGTGTCATGGGGTTCACATTTGTGGTTTTCAGTGGAATATCTGGAGAACTATTTGACAGGTTCCCATGAAATTAATTGCAGTTTCCCTGACATTTAATTTAGGGACATCATCAGGTAGCATTTTTAATTGGTCCAATACATTGGTTGATGACATAATACCTGCAAAACCAATGGCATTCCCATCGACTGTACTTAATGCTAATAAGCAAATCACCAACAAAGATGGTGAACATAGTAGACATTAGAATGTTAGCATTGACATTTTGAGCCTGTAAGCATGCTGACATTACGTACAGCCTCATAGAGCCGCTAGCATGACTGTAAACTTCTTTCTTTTTTTTTGCATTCCCAGCGGTCTCCACCACTGCAGCACACATGCAAAACCGAAATTCAAATGAATGGGAGGACTTGCGCTTTTGCCGCAATGCCTGATTAGGTGTTAGCCTTTTTTACCAACTCACCCTAACCGTAACCATATGGTAGTTGCCATGTGAATCCAATATCGTCATTCTTTTCTGGCTACAAAAAAAAGACCTTCTACCTCCCACATAGTCCTCCACTGCTGTGGGCCAATACAATCCAATAGAGCCAATAGTCCATTAAAGGACACCTAAACAAACCTAATCAAGATTTGGGGTTAAAACAGAAACGGAGGTTTACTGGGAGGAGGTGCCAATCTGAATAGATTAGACAAAAGTGTGTGTGTGTGTGTGCTGTTTTTGTTTTTTCCCTGAGGGTAGTCAGAAGCTGAATGCGAATGAATGACAGAGAGAGTGTGAAAGAGGGAGAAAGGGAGATTGTGTGCAGCGTTCTCTGCTAAGCTCCACACAGGACCTATCATTACCAGATGTCACAGTGAGGGTGGCTGCCAGCCGAATCACTGCTTATTGCTTTAAACTCAAACTCTCTGCCTCTTTCTCTTCTTCTCCTTCCTTCTTTTCCCTCTCCCTCTTTTTTTCCTTCCTTTCCCTTCTCCATTTCCAGCTGTTTTTGGAGCACGCAGCGAGAACGGGGGAAGTTCTCCACCAATTGTTTCGGTCCTGAGAGGAGCTCGGCAGTCGGACCCTCCCTCCTTCTATCTCTCTCCCCTCTCTTTCCTCTGTCTCTCTTCCTCTCTCTCTCCTCCCCTTGTTGTGACAGAGCACACCTGCTTGATCTTGGCTGCATGCGTTCTGAGTCTAATTACCCCATAGGCCCTCGCAGCCACTTCAGTCTCATCCCCCCCACTCGACTGGATTTTTGGAAGTCAAGCTCATCTAGCACAACTTTACTCTCTCTGCCTTGCTTCTTCTGAGAACAGGTAGGTTAATCCTTTACTCTGATAGAGGAGGAAAGTATGGGTAATAATGGCTGAAGTTAGGTTAAGATAATGGAGTTGGGTTTCAACATGAACTCATCTTTAAAGCGAGAGAGAATAGTCTTGAGAGAAGGGTTTGGCTTTTGCTGGATTGTAACTTTTTGCATGACAAAATCTAAAATTCATGATTTAAAATTCACATTATTTGCTCATGTTATTGTATAAAGATAGGATTACTGCAGTTTGTTTTTGCAGATTCTTAAATTGTATGGGTATAATTTGATTCACTTTGTCGTACATTAATCTATGTTGTGTATATTCTGGATGTTGCCAGGTCTTGTTCCCACAGCTCTCTTGGCTTTGTGATGAGAGACCTTTAATCAGTTCCAGTCCAATCGCCATACAGCTCAGTGAAAAGAGCAGCGGCTAGGGAAGGGGGTGTGGTAGTGCAGTTGATGCTGGTACCTCACTCCTCCGCCAAAAAAACCTTATACTCCTGGCCCATTGTTAATCTTCAAGGTATCCACCACCGCTGAGTGCCATGTGATGCGTTCAGCACTGTTTCGATTTACAACTTCAACTTGCAGTTTCGTAATGTTGTTGCTTTTTGACACTTGTTTGTTTGGATGTATCCCATATGGAAAGGCATTCCTCAAACTAGTTTTGTGAGTATTAGTTGTATACACGGCAAGGGAATCAGATTTGTAATGCTTACATAAAGACAAGGGGTTGAGTGAGGGGAAGGCAGAAAAGTGAGATCTTCTACTTAAGTTGTTTGCTTCAACATTTGTCTGTGGAAAATGCTTTTGTGTCATTAATTTGTTCCTTTTCTCTCTTTATTTAGCTCTCTTTCATTCTTTATATCTCTCCTTTTCTTCCCATGTGGCCTTGGGGCAGTCTGCAAACCAGCGAGGGGGGGAAAAAAAGCTGAAACAGCAACATTTCTTTGTGTTGATTCAGCCCATGTTGCTCGGCAAGATTTTGATTTAGAAACGTGGTTTCTGCTTCTTTTCACACTTCAGCAGTTCATTTGAGAATGCAATCAGACCGTTTTAACCCCAATCTCTTATCTGCTCTGCGGCCCTGTTTCTTCTCAATGTGAACCTTCTCTGCCCACCATGGCGTCTGCTGCTGTGTATTCACAGTAGCAGGACAGGACCCAAATTGCTAGGGGCAACTCAAAGTGAGCCGCTTTGAAGAGGAGATGAAAAAAAGCTGTACCTGGCAACGCACAGTGCCATTAATCCCGTAATGGTACAGCTTCCTCTATCAAAGAGGTCTGAAGGCTTCCCGGCAAGCCACCACACAACTCTCAGCTAACTCATTACATCCTTTATGCCAGCAGGGAAAAAACCTAATAAGGCTCAGCTGCACTGAATGGAGTAGACCGGAGTGAAACTGAACAAGGGGAAAAGTGAGACAAACAAAATAGACTGAAAAGTGGGACTTAGAATAGAAAATAGAGGCTAGAAGAGGCAAATACTGCAATAAAAGTACTTCAGCACTTCATACTTTTGTTTTGAGCAGAGCAGATGTTTAACATTTGAACCTGAGGTGAGTGAACGGAAGGTTAGGAGGAGACGAGGCCCAGAGTTGCACCCAGGGGCTGCATTTTTTTACATCTGGACTTAAACTCCCTGGGTAAAAAACTGCAAAAGAACAATGGAATTGAATTGACATCAGCCATGAAGGCTCTCTCCCCTCCCCCCACCCCACCCCACCCCACCCCTTTGCTCATTGGAATACCAGAAAGTTCCACATGTCAGTCTTTCTGGCCTTAAGGGTCAGACAGAGAAAGAAAATACCATAAGCTATGGGAGAGAAGCCGGGGAAGGAAGGAAAAGAGCACAAACAGGGAGGAGGAGATGGAAAGAGAAGAAAGGGAGAGAAGGTTGGACAGTTTGTCCACGTCTGTGCAGTGCAGACTGTTGATAATGGGACTGAGGTTGATGGCAGGCTGACAGCTCTTCTCATGGAACAGCTGAAATGTGGTTAAACCGCTCGCTGGCTTTCTCATGCCATGGCTCCACTAAACAGGCATGCTTTAGAGACCCTAAAATGATCTTTCAATAATAGTTATGGCTCTGACACTTTCACTTTTTCTGCATAAATAAATAATATTGATTGTAGTGGTCAAAAAAGTGTCTTGGGCATCTTCTCAAAGCCAAAAAACGGTCCATACTAACATAAATGGGAGCATGGACGGCTATTTTAAAGACTAGTCTGATTTGGCATTAGCCTATTACGAGAACACTTTGGCTCTGAAATAGTTTGTTGGCCGTGTCTTTGCATATTTTCAGATACACATGTTCCCGCTCACAAAATCCCCTGATATATCAGAGATTTCTTGAAAATAATGGCCACTGACTCCTCACGCCACAGCCAAAGGAAGAGTTTAAAAAAATCACTCGTGTTTTTACATTTCAGCATTATCGGTCATGCTTTTGTGGAACTGCATGGGAGAGAAACTCTCGTTCATTTGGCGATGGGTTAAAAGGGCCACACGTGTTTTTAAACGTCCTGTGGCCGTGTAAATACCTTCCAGTGATTCATTGCTGACAGACGCTCTGCAGAGACAGGCCAGTGGAGAGTTAGACGGGGGGGGCTAATGAACGGGATGGAATGGGTGTCTGCTATATTGTTTCCTTCTTTGCAACATGGCTTGATTTGCTAAGACCCTAACACCATGGTGCTGAACACAATTTTAGATGTGATAATCGCTCTGAGGTATCTCATTGATTTTCTATGGGTCAGAGTTTCATTGAAAGGCAGTGACAAAGAGGAGAAAGTGACAAAGCAAAGCAGGGAAAATGACTGTACTCCCTCATGCGAGCTCTGCTTCCTGTCTGGGAATCATTAGTAATGCTGGGGCCAGACTTGGGGGAGATTGGAGGGAGGGATGAGACAAAAGACGGACACGGGAGACTTGACAAGGATGCCGCTGCCACAGGAAATGTCAACCTCCGCCCGTTTTTTTCTCGGTCACATATGGGATGATGAATCGCGGGTTTCAGAGACACGAGAAGAAGATGGAGATGGTTCATGGATTATTTACCACATGTACTTTTCTGGGATGTGGTAGATTGTAAATCTTTTGAAAATACAGAGTAAACTTACTCTCAGCTGCTTGTGCTTTTTAATTTTTGATACATCTCTTCGATACCCACCATAGTTCAACATGCAGTGCTTCAACATACATCTGCTGACCATTGAAAGCCTCTTTGGAAAACAATCATTCCAGTTGGGTTTGTTTTCTTGGTTCACCAATGATTGAAGTCCAGAGAAAAATGACTTACATAACTGATAAACATAATAACTTGAATTAACTTTCTTTGCTAGTACATGAACATCCTTACCCAAATCCTGTTTACAGAAGTCACCATGTATGCTTTTTCAGAATTGGGTAAAATAAGGTGAAATTCATGAGATGCATTCTATTGCATGGTTTTTAAAAGTCCATTAGTAGGAAACAAGCGTGTACCAATTTATAAAAGTTTATAATGGTACAATTGGTATATTTAACTTTATATTAAAACAAGTGTTTTAAAAGGAATGCCATTAGTAAGTTAAAAAACAAGTGACGCAAACAAAAATACCAATGTGTGAAATGTGTTGTGTTTTCTAAGCTGCAGGGCGCTAGATGACACGTTTTCTAACATCAAGGTTTGACCTCCAGCTGGGTTTGATCCCTCAGTAAAAGTGAATATGATAAGGGAATACCTTTAATCCCATAACATAGATCTTTTTTGAGGGGATTAGAAATGGCAAGATACAGAGTTTGCATGATGAAGTCATGTTTCAGCTTGCTCTGTTGGCAGCCCTCTGGGTTTAGCATGCACACCTACGCACGCACACACACACAAACAAGTGTAGTTGAGGAGCCTGTGTCGTGTGTTCAGGAGATTATGTGTGTGTGTGTGTGTGTGTGTGTGTGTTTATATAGAAGTGGGAGCATCTTCTTTGAGCAGGCCATCTTGCAGGGCTGATGGACACATCTGAGCACACTGGTAATGAAAGAACCAACGCCTGGGGCACGGCAAGTTGCCTCATGCATAAAGCAGGGAAATGCCTTGAATTTCAACTTTTGAAGATACGATTGCATTTGGCCATAATTCCTTGTTCTGTGTTTTGAATAGCAATAACTCTCTTCAATATACAGCCCTCTATCTTCAAGTCCAAAACCCCCTAAGTCAATATTTATACCATTTACCGTGTATTATTATTCTGCAGCTGTGGTTGCAAATTGTTAGTTTATGTCCCAAACAACAATCCTTGAGAATCTCTTTTTCCCGGATTTGTTTCAAAATCTTGTTTTAGTCTCATCATTAACAATTCCTGCAAAATAGCAGTAACTCTTGTCTTTGCAGTAATGCTGCAGCCAGTAAATGCCCATAGAGCTTAGTTTGAGATACCTCCCTTCTTCTTCTTGCCTGTCTGGCTTACATTAAAAGCTGCTGAAGCTTTTATGGACAAAAGGTTGATGGATTGATGGTAGAACATATGGAGGGCCATCTGAAATCCTGCACCAATGCACATGTATATTGGTTTATGTGCTTGTGACTATGGGTCAAAGCAGGGAGATAGGGTTCAGCAATCAGCAGTGAAACCTCTCTTATTTTGTGTACATTGCTGCTCCTTGAAGCAGAGCTGGTACACTGGCTTTGAGGATAATTCTGAATGTTCCAGTCTGCAAGATGTGTTAGATGTGAGGAGTTCACAACACTAGTAGCTCCTATGAAAAGTGATTTTCAAATAATTTCCGTTGTCGCCGATTAGTGTATCATACTACGAGTCAAACCGATCTGGCATCCAAGCAGGATTTCTTGCAGAAAACAAACCATCAAAAGGCATCTACAAACTCTTTTTACCCCAGAAGTGCTTTGCATCTCTGAATCAAAATCTACTGCTGCTGCTGCCGCCAAGTCTGCAGACAAGGTTTTCGTTGGATAGAGGTTTGTGCTGTGCTTAGATAAGAGAGCCTGACACAGCCAGGATTACTCAGTCTGTCGAAGACTGGAACAGCGTGTACTCTGGATCAACTGTATGTTCAGACCGGAGCTCTTTGTGTCTACGTCTCCCACTACAGTATGTACTCCATGTTTCCAAGTGAGACAAAATGGCAAAAGTTCTGCACGGAAAACTGCATCTACATAACAAACATTGTGCGACACACTTCCAGGCTCTAATTGCCAACTTATGAAATCACCCTTTTAAACATTTTAGGTTTTTCCACTTCATAGCAACAGAACCAGAGTTTAAAAAAAGTAAGTCAGAGGCAGAGCTATCCCATCCAACACAATTCTCCTCTGAATGGAATTGATTTCAAGATTGGACATACTCTATGCAAGCACTGTAACCACTGGACTGAAGCTGTACAGTGTGTCAAAGTGGTGGCTGCTTTGTGGACATGGACTATAATTACTGCTTGTGTTGAGAGTCCCTCTGAGCCCTGATCTGGTGACCTGGCATAACCCTAACCTGGATTTACTCTACATCAGCGTTTCTCTTTCTCTTGCATTCTTTCACATTGTCAAAGACACATGGTTAAAAACCTTTGAAAGACTTAACCCTTTAAATGTACATATAATGGCGCACATACAGCACAACTTGTGCACTTGCTTGAATACACTTAAAATCATTGCTTTATTACTATTGCTATTCACACTTAAAACTATTCACTATTCACACTGCTTTATTCACACTTCAAAAACATGGAAATATACACCCATACGACAGAAAGTAAGTAAAGATACAGCACATAAGCATCATGCACACAGACCATATAAACCAGAGTCACTTTCAGCTCTGGCCAACTGATGGTTTTGGGTCGGTTTCATCACCCTGGTCATGATGTTCAGGTCAAGGTCCGTTGCAGACCAGCTACCCCCAAATCATTTGTTAGCAGCTGCGGCTCAAATCTGCCCTTCAATTATTGTGGCACCAAGAAAGAAGGAGCAACTTTTGGCTATACACATGACAAGCAGTTTGCTGGGTCTTTGAGATTGTGTGTGTACGTGTGTTGCTGGTAAAAGGTCAGGCAGTTGTATGTATCACAGCAAAAGGAAGGAGGATTCTCCCAGTGACTCCACTAGTACAGTAAATGCCTGCTATTCAAAGGGCTTTAATGGTAATGTGATTTATTACTTTTGAATAAATGATGTAGCCCAGTGGCAGTCATAAGATTTCCCATGATGCTTCCCATGTGTAATTCTGTAAAAGCTAATGCAGATGCTCATTTAGAAAATGACAAAGAAACCACATGGACTGCTCCAAAAGCAAATTACAGGGGCACACTAGATCATTGGACCAATAGCAAAACATTAGTAGGCTACACTTGTAGAATGGTGATTCCCCAACAGGAGTATTCCTCCTGTAGTTGGGAGGTGGAATAATTGTAGAGTAGCTCAACTGATTTGGGAAAAAAAACAATTAAATGCTAAAATATATCCACATAGTCACGTTTCATATCTAAAGACTGCATGGTCATTTTATGTGTGTGAAAAAAAGCTAACCCAAGTGTTTAACCTGCTGGTTCTCCACTTTTTGCCCTTTGCTTCTCTGGACTTCAATCAATGTGTTCCGTCTTTCATTCACTGTGTCCCAAACTTCTCCCTTCACAGTGAATGAGAAACAAACCGAGTATGGTAGTTTCAAAACTAATCATAGACAATTTTGAAAGTGTATCCACCCAAACCTTTGAACTGTCTTCTCGTCCTCCAGGCTCCCTGCTAGCAGCACCATGAGGTCAGCCTGTCTCTCTCTGCTCCTGGTCACTGCCTGTTGGGCTCTGCCCTTCCACCAGTCCGGCTTCCTAGACTTCATGATGGAGGATGAGGCGGGATCGGGTGTGGTTGAAGGGCCTGAAGTTAGATCCTTCCCTGCCATGCCTGTAAGACCCATGTGCCCCTTCAGATGCCAGTGCCACCTGCGAGTGATCCAGTGCTCTGACCTCGGTAAGAAAAGGCATATTTTCTTATAGTTTTCCACCGCTACATGCACACACATCATGCTGTGCACTGCTACGTACAGGCGTATGACCTTTTATTGGTCTGAAAACCTGTGCATTTAAGAACCAGGCGCCTGCACGTCATGAGGCAAAGTGCCTGAGCAGAAAATCATCCTCGCGAGGGAACATCACTGCGCATCGCTCTGCGTGCACAAATGCGGTTCCGCTGACTTCTCGCCAATTTGACTTTGGATACTCCAGCGGGGGCACCAGTGATAATGATCATCACGCACTCGCATGAATGCAATACCCACAAAAAATGATCGCATATGCCACCATTTTGGTTGCAGTCTGGAGCCTTGATTGTACTGATGCTACATAAATTATAGTTCAGTCCAAATGCGACAAGCTTCTTGTTCATGTCCATTTTATTTTTCCATTCCTCCATCTGGATCTGGATTTCAAACAAAAGACTTAACTGGATGAGATGAGGTCAGATGGGTGTCTACAGTAATTTCAATGTACTTTTATTGTGTTGAGTGACATTAATGGGTTTTTTTTTGGGGAGTGGAAAAAGTCCCTGACTTTACAAACCGTCCACCCAAACCCACATATTCATTTCAGGGTCATGTTAAGTTATGCATTATTGCAAAATCCTCCGGAGAACATGACACCCATGTTGATACCTTAAATGCTCACAGATGCTGTGAGGCTTATTTCCCTTCCTGTAAGAATTACATTATTTGCCTTTCTTTCTGGCCAAATTGTTTTTGAAACGTAGGCGGAGATTAAAAAAATCAGATTTGGCATTGGAAAGTCCTGAACAAACCAGAATTTTAATAAGCTTGTTTCTCAATGTAAAGCTGACTCATCAAGGTTTAAAGACTACAATTACTCTGCCGGCTTTTTAATTCAGCACAGTCACAACAATTTACTCGATTGTCATCTTTGTTGTTTGGAGCCAATCCGCTGTGTTAGTCTAATCTGATATACAACAGCTTGAGTCACAGAGACTTTGTCATAGAAAAGTCCCTGACCTCATTTATTCTTGTATATTACATAAAAGTGCTTCGCTACGCAGTTGGGTTTGATAGTTTTTTTGGCTCGGCTTTTATTTGGAAAGGATGGGGCGCGAGCTTCAAGGAGGCAGATGAAGGGAAAGAGGGAGTGACAGATGGACAGGATGAAATAAAAAAATGGAGGACAGACATAACCAGCAGCATGCAGACAGTTGGAGAGAGTGAGGTTCAGGAAAACACCGGCTCCATTACATCAGTCCTCCAGCCGGGGCCCCAGTCAGACGCAGCTCCATTGGGCGATTCTCAACTCCTGCATCAGTACTGTTGGCCCCGCGCCTCCATCCGTTCCCCAGACCGGCTGGCCTGCATGCAAACACACACACACACACACACACACACACACACACACACACGATTAAAACTTATATGTATATATTTGGGCACAAACACACAGGCCCGGGCAAGACAGACGAGTCTGCTCACCATCCCAAAGCAGCCTTTCACTTTGTAGACGTGGATTTTCCTGTGTGACTTTGCAGCTGGCAGGATGACAGCTCAAACATTCAGGAGAGACAATTAAGCCTTGGGTTCAAATGAGTTGGGGTGATATTTGCTTATCCATTGACTGGCACAACTGCCTATTGTTCTTGTTGCAGGTATTTATATAATGGCACAATCAGCAGCTTCACCGATTAAAAATGTACCTTTTATAAACCGTGATTATGTAAGATGTGCAGTTATCAATCCAAACTTACTCAAATGCCACGGGTCTTTGATGATGCAGCCAGATCAACTTGTCTTACTTGAGGAAATGACAAACACTGTCAGTAATGCTTGGGAGTGTCCAGCGCAGTCCAAAACAATCATGCGCTTCATCTCCCAATCACTTTGCTATAAAATGGAGCGAACAATAGTGACTATTAAAAAATAGAAGTTGAGACAGCAAAAGATGAGATCATCTGACTTTAAGAGAAGAAAAATAAAAACAAATGCTTGTGCAGGTATAGAGGTACACGGTGTGGTGCTGCCATGATATTGCTGACCACAAAGCTGCGATGGTTTGTTGGTCATCCACTGCCGAGCTGGAAAAGCTGGAAGTAATGTTTGGGTGAGCTGCAAAGAAGTCGTCACAAGCATTCAGGACAAAATGTGTCCAGACCTACGTATGCGGACTGGAGATGCAGAATGTAAGCTTCTTTGTGAAACAGTTTATTCTACGCCTCTTCCTCTGAAATGTAAACTACCCATTATGAATCTGAGTGTATTTTTTGGGTTACCACGGATGCAGAAGAGCATACACCATGACTCCCAGCTGTCTTCGCTCTACCCACTCCACCAAACAAGTCTTTCACTATAGATGCCATTTTCTGCTTCACATTAACCATGACGTGCTGTGATAAAGTCCAAGCAAAACGATTCTGCGTGAGCTCAGTGTTCAGGTATTCAGCCGCTTACCTACTCCAAAGGAAATTTGTTTTAAGGTCCATTTCCACCATCTGTGCCTCGGAGCACATCAAACACTTATTTGGTCCCTTTGGAATGTCAATATAAAACCCATTCTAAGTCCCTATCATCAAGACTTTATGGAGCATGCTACTTTGACAAAGCAGACCCTTATTTGTTTTGTTTCTATGTGATTCAATTTGATGGACAGTGGTAGCAGCTCAAACAAACAACTGTTATCAGATTTTGACTTGGATGTTGCTAAACTCTGATTGGTGCATGGGAACATGTACTTTATTGATCCTTTATTGGGAAATTATATTACAGCAGCGGGTTATCCAGGCATTGCACAGGAAAAGTAAAGATACATAACACTAGGAGGGTTATAAATCTTTAGAATATAAATAATATACTAGAATACCAAACTACTACAACTAAAATTTAAAGAGGCTAAAATGCAAATTTGTTTGTTTTTTTAAATACAATGAAGTAAAATGTAAGTATGAAGATTTACCAAATCATCTTTTTCTAACTGCCCACTTTAAAGTAATGACAAAAAGCATGAACAAAAAACAAAAATATTCTCAAGCAAAATCACCAAAACTGTACCAACTTTGACAGAACATTTTTTCAAAAGCCAACATTTAATCAAACCTCGTCCAAGCTGTACAAGCAAACCCTAGTGTGGTTCAATTGCAACATAATGACACGATAATCCGACCCAATTTCAAGAAGAGAACCAAAACGTATAGGGGCAATGGGCTGTGTGCACTGGCATTTGTTGAGATGGACACAGGTAAACTACAGGTCAACACAAATGGGAGATTACTGACTTGGGCTTCTGCAGAAATCACATGCGTACATGACAGATGGGCAGAAGAAGAGATCCAGCATATGCTAAATAAAGTTCACAACAAAGTGAAGTTTATAAAAGTAAAAAAAGAATTACCAGCATTGAGGTGTCCCTGCTCCTTTGTACGCGGCCCTCAGCAATTTTTTTATTTAGTCTGCTTTAATTTGTGCACTGTGAAACCAAACTACACTAAAAAGTATCAATTTCCACACTAATTCGAACGGACTATGGTTGGTAAAAGCACTCTTTGTAGACCTGATTTACAAGACTGTAGGTTCACAGTAAGATGTCGTAAACTCTTGAAACATGGAGACAAGTAGGTCCATTTCCTGTTGAGGTCAGAGCGCGATTAACCTCTCGTCACAAGAACCAGGGCTGTCACCGCCTCGCCTCTAACCCACCATCTGATTTAAACAATGTCTCATAAACATTCACCATCAGGTCTGACGACAGTTCCTGAGGACATCCCAGACGACACCACCCTGCTGGACCTGCAGAACAACAAGATCACTGAGATCAAGGAGAATGACTTCAAGAACCTCAAAGGACTACATGTAAGAGACATTTCACATCTGCAGAGCTTCATGTCGGTGTACTAATGTTACGTAATAGGTTGTTGTGTAACCTTATCACTTACTGCAACCCTCCAATATGAACCTTGGTGACCCCCATGGGGAAACATCTTGTTTTTGAATTATTTGGATGTTTGCCATATTATAAAATGTTACCACACTCAGAGCTGCTCATTCTGAAAACCCCATGGACCCCACTTCACCTCCCACCCCCAAACTCTCCTCAACCTCCTCCATATATCCTCCACTCCCCCCACTCACCAGGTGCATGGAAACTATTCACCCGAAGGTTGTGCACCCTCACGCCCTTAAACTCCTTTAGCTTTCTTGCTTGCAAGAAATACCTCCGTCTGAAGGCCAGAGGTGTTTCCACTGTAATGTAACTCTGAAGGGAAAATACCACATACCTAGCATTGCCTCATGTCTGCTTTACATTGGAGTGAAACAACAGGAGTGAGAGTTCTATGAAAATGCTTTAGGGATAACTCCAGAGTGGACTTGAGCTTGGCTCTCCATCTTGACAGCACAGGCACCTGGTTGTAAACAGCTGCTGAGCTCACATGTCCTGTTTGTGTAGAATTTCATCTGGAAAGAATAGATTTTCAATCGTCCCCAAGGTGCAATTGCAGCAGGAAATGTTTCTGAGTGGAAGAAAAAAAACAGCGAAAGCCTCCAAGGTGTAAACTTCCAAATACAGGTCAAATTCCATAATAATAGAAGTTGTGAATTTAAATAAGAACAGACAGAAAAACACCAAAATTAATTCTTGATCCATTTTTTTGATGCAGCAAGAATTAAAGAAATAAGAGTAGTAGCTCATCTCATTTGATGTTCTTCCTTATAGGCTCTGATCCTGGTGAACAACAAAATCACCATCATCCACGCCAAGGCCCTCAGCCCTCTGACCAAGCTGCAGCGTCTCTACCTGTCTAAGAACATGCTGAAGGACATGCCCGCCAACATGCCCAAGAGCCTGCAAGAGCTGCGCATCCACGAGAACGAGATCACCAAGATCAAAAAAGCCTCCTTCCAGGGCCTGTCCCATGTCATCGTCATGGGTATGAAAATAAAATGTTCTTATTTGTTCAAAAATGGCAATATTTATATGGATAGCTAACAGCTTGAAGAGGTTTGTGGCATATGTTTCAACAGTATAGGTCACATCTGCGGTGGGATGGCTACAGTTCAACAGGCATGATAAAAAATAATTACCTCGAGGGAAACCAGTGTTTTGAATTTAAATTGTCCACGGTCTGTGTCGAGTTTTCGAGTAATTTCATGAAAACAAGATCCTCTCTCAGCCGTCGTTCAAAGTGCAACAGAAAAAAAGTTGAGGATTATTTGAGAATGCATTGAGGTATACATATATTCAGTAATGTTCCACACAGCAATGAAACCACTCGAATAGTAAAAAAAACGGCATTTACATGCACGATTACGTCGCATATGTTTTCGTTTGTTGTCCTTTATCCTCCATCTGCTCCATTTCCTCCACTTGTCACTTTGACAACTCATCTCCAACTTCCTGTTCCATGAATTAAAACGTGTCATTGCTCAAATGAGGCTTAAAGTGTGGATTTAATCACTTAAAATGCAATGACATAAGAATTAGGGTCTGTGACAAATCAGGGGATCTGGCATGGTGAAAGGCTGCGTTGCAAACACAATCTATTCTCTTGCCAAAGACTTTGTTTATGCGTGACTCAGCTCTATGTTCCTGTAACGCCCCGGGACAGGAATCAACTTCATAGACGTGATCCGTTACTGCTGTTCTCTTTTTTCCTTTCTGTCTGCGCTCACAAGTGTTTGTTTTCACTTTCAGAGCTTGGGTCCAACCCTCTGAGGAGCGCAGGCATTGAGGCCAGTGCTTTTGCTGACCTGAAAAGGGTCTCCTACATTCGCATTGCAGACACGAACATCACAGACATCCCCAAAGGTAAAGCTTTATCTATTTCCACAAATAATTTGGCTTAATCCAAGTTTTATGTCGCAAGGGTCAGCCAGAAACGTCAGTTTTCTATCAAAATAATGCATGCTTGGATTTAAGTGTTCAGCAAAACAATGGACTTGATGTGAAAAAATAAAAACACACAAACTGTACTGCATGAAAACTCTCACCCCTTGATAATCAATCTGTACTTTAAACTGAAACTTATTGTTGCAAGTTGCCAACTAACCATAAATGTTTCCCAACTCATCACTTTATTATTGGTGGTAATCCTTGTCTTGTGGGTTGCCAGGTCTGCCAAGCTCTCTCTCTGAGCTCCACCTGGATGGAAACAAGATCTCCAAGGTGACGGCTGGCACCCTCAAGGGCCTGAAGAACCTGGCCAAGTAATACGACTTACGATTCTCTCTTTACAGTAACCCATATTCACCTCATTTCTTTCCTACTTAGATTTAAAGCAAAACTGTTTCCTGCTGTCTCATGTTTTCATTCTTTGGTACATGTATTAGCTTTACTCTGTTATTACTGTTCACAGGCTTTTACTGTATAACAAAACCTGAGACCTAAGCGGTAGTTTTTAGATAATCAAAATAACTGCTTTGCTCAAAATGTGGATCTACTGTGTTTATAAGATTACTGCTCAGATTGTGCCAAAGATGGCACAGACCAAACTTGAACAAAGAGGGCTTTGATGTGTCGTGAGTAGTTGGAGAGGATATGAGAGAAGGATGGTTTTTATTTTCCATTTTCTCATAATTTAGAAATGGACTGGGAAAGTAATGGCCTTAATCACAGTTGTAGATTATCCTCATTTCCTCAGCTCGTTTTTTTCGTTCCATATTGTTATCCAACAATTTTTCAGCCGGAGACAATCATTGATGTCAGTATCTTTTTCTCTCCTCATGAATTTGGAACTTTTTGTACTTTTGTGTTCTTTGTTCTTTGTTCTTTGTTCTGCTACACATTTGCACATTTCAATTCAATCTACTTGCGGATTTCTCCTGCAGGCTGGGTCTGAGTTACAATGAGATCAGCTCTGTGGAAAATGGCACTCTGGCTAACGTCCCCCACCTGCGAGAGCTGCACCTTGACAACAACGCTCTAATCAGCGTTCCCACCGGCCTGTCCGACCACAAGTACATCCAGGTACATACTGGTTTGATGAACATTATAATTACTTCTCAGTGTTAGCAATCCAGGTTTGAATCCCCGACATGATCACTAGAACCGGGGGAATTGTTATTGCAACCATTTAGTTCCAGTAAATTACCTCGGAGCATTAGTTACAGTATGTTTCTCATTTTCTTACGGTGTGATCACACACAGGTCATTTTCTCTGATCCAAACCATAGTGGAAAAGTTGACTTTGTTGCATTTTTGCATTTGGTTTGCTTAGGTTCACACTGCCCGATTACAAGACAAGCAAGGCTTCCATAACAAAAACGGCACATGGATTCATTTAGTTTGTTTATTGAGTCGTGTTGGTAGCCTGTTGTACTATAATGTTACAGCTTTTGGCAGTAGGGGGGAGTGTAAACAGACCTGATTCAAGGCCTTTTAACTGTAGTTTGGCCTCAGTGTATTTCATGATTTTATTAGCCCTCTCAAGGCTAAGTTACTGCTGCATCTATCCCATCCCTATAAAACCTTTTTGGGGTAATTTTCTGTAGTTTGTTGGGGTTTTATATTCACTCCTAATGAACTGCACTGTTCCAACAAGCCAGTGTGCACAGTTTCTCAGTGAAATCGGTGTAAATGAACTATAACATTATTAGTGCATGAGTTACCTAGTTTTCCATGTTTATGCAAATGTACTAAGCGTTGGACTTTTCTCCACGTAAAGTTTAGTATTTTTGGATCTAGAGGCTTTGAAATCTGTAATCAGCATTATATTGTCTATCCGTGTGTTTGTGGCAGTTCCCTCCTTTTGTTCTTATTTCTAGGATCCTTATCATCCCCCTCAGTGCTGCATGATGAGGGCTGCTGTACTCAAAACACAGTGCTCAGCTTCATGATTCTTAAGTTTCATATTTGCTTTTTATGGGATTCTGTTTCTAATATGCAGCTAAAGCCGTGCTGGTTTGGAGCAGCATCAATTATTTTGAAGAATGATCATGTAGGAAGTCCTTTTACAATTGTTTACAGTTAAACATCCTGAAGGGGAAAAAACAACTACTTGCTTTCTTGAGCCATCATTGTTTCTTTAGTGACTTATCATCTTCTTTATTTTGCAAACATTAAATTATTGCCAAGCACGTCGCACTCAGTGACCAAAGGTTGTCATTATTTAAATCCCTTCTCTAGGTGGTCTACCTCCATGCCAACAAGATTGCAGCTGTGGGAACAGAGGACTTCTGTCCTCCTGGCCTCAACCACAAGAAAGCCATGTACTCTGGCATCAGCCTGTTCAGCAACCCTGTGCCTTACTGGGAAGTTCAGCCCATCACCTTCCGCTGCGTCTTCGACCGCTCCGCCATCCAGCTCGGCAACTACAGGAAGAAGTAGAGCGTCCTTGCGCACCTCTGCGAGGAAGTGTGTGTGTGTTTGTAAATGAGCGTGTGAAAGTTTTCCAACTGTGCGTGTTTGACCACAGCCCCACAACACTGACCCCCTAGCAACACTGCCTCCCCACAGACGGTGATGTCATTAGTCCACGCACTCATTCCAAAGCGTTAATGGACATGGACCTCAAAACACAACATATCATTTTCATTATTTAGCTTCAAGGTTGGTGCAGCAGTAGTACACGAGGCTTACAGCAAACACCAGCATATGGCGGTGATGCTCTCACACACACAGCACATCATTCATAGATGCAGTTATAAAGCAAGCAATTAACATTTCAAATATGTTCTCACATACATGCTGTATCATTTGCATTCAGTGGACAAATTGAAATTCAGAGGTGAACCCTAACCAAAAAAAGATTTGAATCCTCACTCAGTGGAAAATGTTATTAATCCCACTTCGATCAACTTTCGATCCTTTAGCCATTGTATGAATCTGTATCAGAAAGCTGGCCTGTAGAGCAGGCAGCAAAGGGTATAACTTGTGTTTTACAATACCTTTAACAGCTGGTATACTAGAATGTACTAGATATTACCTGTGTACTAGGAATAGCATTCAGAGTGTAACATTACCATGCTGCACTCTTTGAAAGAACTCAGTTTCTATTTGTATTGTACTCAATTCAAGTAGAGATAAAAGCAACCGTGACTTCTATCACATTGTGATTTCTTGTGCTTACTTCAGTGTTCTGGGTTTGGTTTAAAACTTTTTCTTCATCGCATTTCCTCTCATGTTCCTTTCCTAGTGTATGTTGTTCCATTAAAAAAAAAAAGGTGAAAATGGCTTATAAAAAATGTAGAATAAACAATATGTTTTAAACAGAAGCCATTCCCAAAGATTTATATGCATGCCCTTATTTTTTTTTCTTTCTGGAATCTCTTGTTAATCCCTGTATGTATTCCTCTCCATGTTTCCCTGCCCTTTTAATTCTTTTTTTTTTTAAGAGTCAAGAAAAATATGGTGTATGTGGACTAGCATGCCCACTGCAACCATGTTGGTGTGAATGTTGTATGTATAGACGCTGTATATAAATGCTGTGTAAAAACCTCTCATTTGCTTAAAGGCACAAGCACTTACCATAGCTCAGACTTAATATATCAGCAACAAAGGTGTTCCTCTTTTTTCTCCCAGGAGAAGGGGCTCCAGCTAAGGTGTCCTGAACAAAATAAAAATACTAATGGAAAAAGTAGCAGTTTTTGATGGATGTAATGACCAGAACTTGCATTAATTATCAACGATGTGAATGGAGATTTGTGCTCCCACTGGATGGCGCTGCAATAGCTCCAGCACAAATAAAGGGAGGCTGGCGGCTTCCTGGCGAACAAGGTCAAGAGGAGGCACAGGTACCGTTGTGAAGCAGGTGAGACACCTTAACAATAAACAACAAGCACACACACGTAAGGTGAATGTGCTCCAGGCACATATTCATGATTAAAAAAATACGCTATTTTTATGAGATTCATGCATATTAAAGTTTTAGATTTCCGCCCCAAACAGCAAATTTCTGCTGTCCAGCTAACAAGAAAAGTACACTCCACAGAAATCTGTCTGTTAACGTTTCTGCCTAATGGGTACTTTTAAAAAAAAGTTAAAATTTTCACTTTTATTAGACACTATTGGGTTTTGTCATCTGGTAACAATAAATTAATATATTGTTCGATACGTTCTATTAACGTAACATGGGGACCATTCATCAAGTTCATTCACTCAGGATATGAATTTCACATGGAATAGCGTCGTAGCTACTTTGACTTTAATAACAGCATTGTACATGAAACTAATGGCAGCGTCCTGTTAAAGACCCATGTTTAACAAACTACACTGAAAAATACTGTATCAAATCATTTAGTCCCATCGAGCCTTTGAGACCTATTTTTCATAAAAGATTAAATTGTATTACCAGTGGGTATAAGTGCCGCCTCCCATCTATTTTCTATAATCCCTGATCCTGTGCAGGGCACAAGTTGGGTGGAGCCATTCCCAGCATCCATTGGCCAAGAGTCAGGGTGCATCACAGGATGTACTGTATACATTTACAGGACATATATGCATCTACATATACACAAATAGATGGACAACGCATTGAATTTATAGTCTCCAGTCCACCGTTTCTGTGGTCTGTGGGAGGAAACCGTAGCTCGCTGTGGATAGAAATTATAAATTATTGAGCCATTGTACCAACACATCCATGTACCGGGGGAGTAAAAACAGCTGGATGGAGGGTCTAAAAAAAGTTTTAAAAATCTGACTTATTGTAGATGGATTTTCTTCGAGCTACTCTGCAGTCTCCAACTCATATTGATGGGTTTTGTGGTCTGAGGTCAAATAAAAATATTTGCTCAAGAACCATTTCTGGCCTCTGCCACCAGTGATTTAAAATCCTTCAGTCATTGAAGAGACTAAAGGGATATTTTGGTGAAATAAAAAAACATGTGGTGGTTGAGACTCCTGCCTCTGCGTGCAGGTTGTATGGTGTCTTCAGCATTTGTTCACCAATTTTTTCATTTTGTTGCATTGTTTGAAGTTTCAGAAGTGAGAATTTTCAACAGCATGCTATCGGATGAAAAATAATAAGTAAATACATAAGAGTTCATTAATTCAATTTATCCCCAAAAAAGCTAGGTTTTCCTTTTGAGCAAAAGTATCAGTGCATTACTGCCACCAACTGCTTATTTTAAACACACTCCTTTCCGTTTCTCTTATTCGCCACTAACACACAACTACAAACAAACTATCATTGTTATGAGCAACAACAAAAATGGGAGGTTTGGGATAAAAGTATACATATTGGGAGGAAAATAAAACAAAATGTGTGGGTAGAGGATAAATGATTAAATGTGAGACAGGATTGTATATATATATATATATATATATATATATATATATATATA